TCTCTCCTTCTCTCTCTCTCTCTCTCTCTCCTTCTCTCTCTCTCTCTTTCTCTTTCTCTCTTTCTCAGAATCTAATTCTCTTTCCCGTACAACCATCCCATTACCCACAACCATTCCATATTATGCAGGCAACTATCGTATGTACCTACGACTATCTTATATACCCACAACTATACCATGTATCGACAATCGTGCCATGTAGCCATGACGTTTTGCGTGCACTCACAACAATTCCATTCCATGTAGTCATAACATTTTACCTGCACCCACGACCTTCCACTTCCACAGTACTCATGACCGTTTACATACACCAATCCACTGTACCCACACAGCTATCCTCTGTATCCACAAACTTCCCTTGGTGCCTTAACGACTACCCAATCTACCAACGAACTTGTTATGCTGTAACAACTGTACCGTCGTGTACACACAACATGACAGTCCTATGTAATGAAGATACCCTGTATGTGTCGTGACGTGGTGAAATAAGGCGCTGGTCACTTTTTGAGCATATTGGGGTTATTGGTATTATCTTATAGCCAGTTTATTTGCTTTGCTTTTTGTAAAAAAAAAAATGTCCATCTATGCTGAATAGAAGCCAAAATATTTGCGATTGAAGGAGGTCAGGGTCGCCAAGTTTCAGAGGAGAAATAAGCGAGAAAATGGCAACCAAAGTTCGGTAATTTCCATAGCTTGAAAGTCCTTGGAACCTGAAAATTGATACTTTTGTGCTTTTAAGCAATGTTTTTCAGTAAAATCCACACAGAAATGTGTTTTTAATTGATATAAAAGGTGTTGAGCCCAAAAAAGAAATTGATAAAAAGGTTGTCCAACAGTCGGAATAATGCCCATTTCTTTGATTTCACGATATTATTATTGACGAGTGCCTGATTTCACCACGATACCTCACATATACCCACATTCTGACGCTCCTGCCCACTCCTGTCGTTTATTTTGATGGCTCGACTGCTCACGTGACTTGAGCTGAACTCTGACCCCAAGTTGTTGGTGCTCCCAGAAAGTTTCCCCAAGTCTCCGTCCTGGTAGTTGGGGCTCAAATTGGTGTATGATGTTATGCTTGAAAAATTGACAAAAGCTGGGATCTGTGAGTTTGCTACGTCATGGAGGGAACAGGCAACCGATTTGTCTTGTGTGGTGCGGGCGTGGAGGCGTAGAAAGTTACCTGGATTGGGGGATAATAAGAAGAAGAAAATATAATGAGGATAATGATGATCAGGAGAAGAAGAAGAAGAAGAAGAAGAAGAAGAAGAAGAAGAAGAAGAAGAAGAAG